AAATTGGAGAGGGTCCAGAGAAGAGCAACAAGAATGATTAAAGGTCTAGAGAACATGACCTGTGAAGGAAGGCTGAAAGAATTGGGTTTGTTTAGTTTGGAAAAGAGAAGACTGAGAGGGGACATGATAGCAGTTTTCAGGTATCTAAAAGGGTGTCATAAGGAGGAGGGAGAAAACTTGTTCACCTTAGCCTCTAAGGATAGAACAAGAAGCAATGGGCTTAAACTGCAGCAAGGGAGGTTTAGGTTGGACATTAGGAAAAAGTTCCTAACTGTCAGGGTGGTTAAACACTGGAATAAATTGCCTACGGAGGTTGTGGAATCTCCATCTCTGGAGATATTTAAGAGTAGGTTAGATAAATGTCTATCAGGATGGTCTAGACAGTATTTGGTCCTGCCATGAGGGCAGGGGACTGGACTTGATGACCTCTCGAGGTCCCTTCTAGTCCTTGAATCTATGAATTTGATTCCTTTTCCCCTAAAAAAAAAAAAAAAAAAAACAAAAAAACAATTCAGCAACAACAGATCAATGGTCCCCTGAGACCATACCACAGCCCAGAGGGTATATCCCAACATTCATGAATTACCCCATAACAACAAATCTCTGTTTGTGTGTTAAACAAACAGACTCCAGCATGTGTGATTTGTGCCCATAAAATTTCTGCCTGTATTTGTGTGTTCATAAAATGAACTACAGGTGCAAGTCAGAATATTTGAACCTCTAGCTATCTGATTTGTGCCCAGAGGTAAATTTGGGCGAGGGGTAAATACTAAGTTGTGCACCCACAATTCAAGGGGAAAATATGTGTGTAATTTGTGCCTGAAAAAAGGAGATCACCCTTTTAAAAATGTGATTCTCTTTTGTGTAGGTGTTTATTACCATATGAGAACTTTACTCTCTAGGGATATGTGGCAGTAAAGGGGATTGGTGACCACTAGCAAACCAGTCTACTTTGAACTGAGGGAAAAACATAATTCAACAGGATCCAGTGATTAATCCATGAGAGAAGTCAAGTCCCTAGTTCTGAGGAGCTGGAAGCTCTGCTTTGAGCATACAGCAAGAAAAAAACACCTATAAATTATATAATTGCCTTTGGAACATATGGGGAAAAGGTATTAATTCTTACTGACTCAAGAATTACTCCTCCTCATCCCTAGAAGTGATACATCACTATACCTGAAACCTGGGACTCCTTTCTTACTAAGTCAGTTCCCTCTGAACAAGTAACTTGTAGCTTCCACTACCCTGGCTTTTCCTCCTGTCTTGCATAACTATAGTGACTTTAGAGCCTATGAGATAGCATACTGTCATCTGAAAATTTAAACTCATTGTCTGAGTGCCTCACCCACCTCATCTGAATTGTAATTGGTTTGCACAGAAGGACAGGCCCAAGGTTTTTTCTATAAAGGCTATTTCAAACACAGCTTGAAGCCTTATCATACAGCACCATAACTGCTCAGAGGAACACAGAACACGAGTCGCAGAATAGCAAGAAACCATGGCTGGTGAGTAAAATACAAGTCTCTCAATAAATAACCTGCAAGCAACTGAATAAGGTTATGTTCCCTTATCGGGATGGTTTATTTAGTGGGGGTTTGTTGCAAAGGGCTGTAAGTATTGCATACTCTATATTCTGGGATTTGGAATAAGTTGTATAACTGGTAACATATTTTAAACATTTATTTTCCTAAATTTTTAACAACAGAGAAATACAACAAACAGAGAAAATAAATATTCCATACGTTGTAATACTAGAGTACAGTATTACAAAACAGATGCAGAGCACAATGGGTGGAGGAGAACCACTAGAACCACCATTAGATGTATCACCCAAGAATTTACCAAAGTGTACAGAATGTTACTATTTTATGCTGGTCAGGTTAAATATTAGGAATTTAGAAGGCAAACTAAAGATATGAATCAAAGCTAACTATTACTAATATAGGCATTTATGGTAGACGTATTTTGTGAGCATTAATAATATACTTCTGTGGACTTGGTCTCATGTCTACAAATACTTACTGAAAACTAGCTTTTAGGATGGAGTTTGTGTGTTAACAGAGCCTGTGCTTATAGAAGTGTTTGTGTGTTGAGCACATATACAGGGCTAAATACCATCCTGTTGGTGCAGGGAGTGTACATTGCACCCCTTGTACTTGCAGGAGCAACTGTACCTAATGGGGACAGCACCTTTAAATCTAGACAGGGCTTCATATGAGCCCCAGCAGTGAAGTCTAGCCTGGAGAGAGATTGTGCCCCTCTCTTGGCATACCCTCTTTGCCAGAGTTTGGAGCCTGGGCTCTGCAGGCATAAGGTGAATCGGAACCATCACTTGGTGAAACTGATAAGAGACACAGAGAACAGTGTCCAAAGAGCAGAAACAAAGAGCTTGATTTTCCTCTCAGATGTAAATGAAGAATAAATCCACTGAGGTCAATGGAGCTACACAGGGGGAGTGAGAAGAGAATCAGGTCCTTGGACTCTAAAAGCCATGCATTTTATCTATACAAGATGTTAAAAAAAACAACAACACACACACACGCACACAATTTCTTGGGGTGATTTGAACCACTTACTATCTTGGCATATTCCTCGCGGATTCATTCTGCCAATGCTTCCTAACTTGTTGGTGAAAGTGCAGTGTGTGGCCTGCCAGTGCCCACTTGAAGAATTTCTAAATGTACAGGTGGGTTCTGACATTCCATTCATCTAAATGTTCACCTCTAAGAAATGAACTGAGAAGCAGGAGGGTTGGAAAGGGGTCAGATGTGTATTATGGGCAGGTACCAAAAAATCTGCACCATTAAATATTGCTTAAGTAAACAGCCATGAAAAATGCTACTGGGCGGTTTAAGAGAGCTCTTTGTTAACAGAAGGAGTATGTGTTAAAACTGGACAGTAAAAACAACCACAGATTGCAGCAACAGGGAAATAACCACAAATCCACAATTTCCTCAGTGTAACACTTGCACAATGATGTACCAACATCATAGCCAATATTTTAACAAGTGGCTTCACAAATATTTTCCACTAAACCTCCAGTAAGCTCGATGTACCATTGGCATATGCTCAGAGAAGGAAGCAGGAGAGAATAGGGAATCTGTCCATTTGTGATTTTCTCCATTTAAACAAAACTCATTCTCATAATCCTAACTGGAGGAAGAGACAGCCCCACCTGACAAACAAGCTAGCACTTGGTGGATGTGGTCAGACGTTTTGGTGAAACACTCAGAGCACATTCACAGCCCAGACCAGTGTTACATTTGTGGGATCTGAGGAAGGGGTGTAGACCTGGGGAAAAGGTGTGGGGGATCCTCCCCATGGTGCTGTTTAAATGCAGGACCAGCCACTTGGTGCTATCAGGGCTATTTTAAAGGAAATATTTTGCTCTTCAGCAGATCCAAATGAACCCAGGTAAATCATTTCTGGCAGGGCTAATTTAGCAGTGTCCAGAAAGGGGTTCATGGAGCCCCTGCTACATCCCAACGGTCAAAGATTCAGCTGCTTGTTTCACAATCTCCTCTCAGTCATAGTCTGACATTGTTCAGCCTTCAGCCCTAGTAGCATAACAAACAATTAAGGTATGAGTCATACTCAGGAATATCTTGTGTGGACACTAGAACCATAAAGTGGGGGCTCAAGGAAATGCAAAGCAGATATTGGATCCAAACCCTAGAGAAAACATTCACTGCCATGTAGAATGGTGATTACAAGAGACACTTCTCACTTGTAAGTAGAATATGCAATATTAGCTGGAGGTCGCATCTTCTGTATATTATCTACACTGCACTTGTGCAATTGATATTGTAAGTGATATGCATGGGAGAGAGATGGAGACAAATGCCTAAACAAAATCAGATCTAATTCTGAAGGGTCCTGGATGGCCATGTTAAATCTGACCCCAAGGTCTAAACAGGTGCCTTGTCTTGATGTGTCAGAGACCTGAGCTGACTTCCTGCTCTTTGGAGCCACAGGGGCTGAGGTTGCTGCAGAAGCGAGTCACATCACTGTTTAAAATACAGCAACATGGCTCAGCTCTATAGGTTTTTGGAATCCCCTGCTTCCTTCCCAGAGCCCAAGAGGATTCCCCTGTATGACCCTGCTTTATACCTCAAATTTTCAGCCTCGCATCACAGCCAGTATGTTGTATTTTGACTGAAAGAAGCAGTCAATAGAATTAAAACTGCATTCTTTATTCAAGCAACTCACTCTCAACTCCACCATCTCTCTCCTCTCAGATGCTTTCCCAGCCTCCCTCTAGTACTGCATTAACCAACTCTTGTTCTATTTTAGTCAGCACTAGCTACAACAGTCTCTGCTTTGAGAGATGCCATCTCCCAAGAAGCTAGATAAAATGCTTTCAAAATGAACAATTGGTTCCTCTGTGTGATGGAGACACAAACACAGGAAGAACCTCCTCCATCAAATTGCCTCCCATTGCCCCAAGTACATGTTTTAAGTACAGGTGACAACTCCAAAGAAGATGCCGGAGATTTTTTTCTGTCCATCCCTAGAGACTCCTCTGCCCCCACAAGGCCTTGGGATTCTCCTCACCTTTTTTCCCCTCTTCTCACAGCTCTGACATTGACAAATATCAACTGGCAGCTTGAAGCAAATGCGAATGCACACCATACTGATAAATACTCCAGCACAGAGCTGATTGTGAGGAGAGGACAGGCCTTCACTATCATCCTGACCTTCAACAGAGCACTGCAGACTGGAGAGAGCTTAACATTCATTGCAGAAACAGGTAATGCCCCCACTTCAGTCCCTCACACAAACAGGTTCCTGCCCCATAGACTGGTGATGTCCTTCCCCTGCAGATGCCCACTCGCCCTGTCAGAAGGAGGTAATAATGCCCGCACGAACTCACCCCCTCAGAGCCATTGTTAACACAATTGTACTTATCCAGGTGATTGTGCAGGTTGTTAAATGTATGACTCACTTAAGCTAATGGTATTTGGCATCAATTTGTCTATAACATGCTGACATATGGTACAATCTCACTCATCATGGGTTGCCTCTGCTGGGTTGAATAGAAATTGTATGTGGTTTCAGAGTGCAGGAGAAATCTCAGTGTTCTCAATCCTCTTTGAAAGGGCCAAAACCATCACTGCAAGCGAAGACCCAGGCTGTATTTGACATCTCCAGCACAGCGAGCAATAGTACCTGGAGCGCAGTCCAACAATCCACCAACTCCAGCTCCGTCAGCATCTCTATTTCCAGCCCAGCTAATGCTGCCATCGGACGCTACAAACTGAGCGTGCAGCCTGCCTCAGGTGGTAGTGCCTCCCGTAGGACCCTCGGAACATTCGTTCTGCTCTTTAACCCTTGGTCTTCAGGTACAGACACCTTGGGTTGCTCTCTAAGTAACTCACTGCAGCTTTAATATGTGTAGCTTGCCCATCTGATGTACTGAACAGTAACAATATGTACCCTAACACTGAGCGCCAAGAGTGGGAATTAAGAGTGTCCTAATACCTTCCAGTGACAAAAAAAACCAGCTGAATGTCTTAGATTTACACTATATAGCACAGTAGGGAGTGCACCCCACCTCTTCTCTGTGCAGAGTCAGAGTCCTGGGAGATTCCCAACGGGGAAGCTACAAACTCATCATGTTCACTCTGTAGCTTGTGTGTGATTATGGAGTCCTACCAGAGAGGCCTTACCCTGAAAGGCATAGACTGAGCCTGTCTCCCCCACAGCTCAGCACCACCATAGAAGAGCAGAGACTGGGCACTACTAGGCACTGTACTATCCCTGAGGAAAAAAAGTCAAGGCCCTGAATCTATCCCACACTAACTTTCCCCTGCAGGACAGAGACTTAGCCACGGGTGTGTCTTCGCTATCCCCCATCCCTCTTTCTTCACCCCACAACTGCAAAAGGGTTGAATTTCTAAAATCTATCGATAACATTGAAAGCAGAGCAGATGGGTATTTACAGGAGCTCATCTGAGGCTTTCAAACCCCTGCCCCATTGTGGTTTTACAGCACCTCTGCTTTGGATTTTCAGGAGATGATGTGTTTATGCCCGACAGCACTGAGCGCAAGGAGTACGTGCTGGAAGAGTTTGGAATTGTCTTTGTGGGCAACGTAAACCGTATTAGCAAGATGGGCTGGAATTATGGCCAGGTAAATGCAAAGTGAAGAACTTGGTGTTTGGGCCTCCTTTCTTCTCACAAGCTAGATCAGTACCTTGCCTGCTCTTTCTAGTTCATACTTTGTGCTGCATTATATACTGCACTATCTTTGAGACATGTTCTGGGGCACTGGCAGCCACTAGCCATGTTCCTCTGCACCTTCCAGTGACTTATCTGGACAACAGGAGCCTGGTCACAGGCATCAGGCCTCATCTCATGCCCCACTTTATACCAATTCACATAAAGGTCAGTATCAATAACTGGGCATTTCTCATAAACCAGGACTCCCTTAGTTCAGCTGTAAATGTTTTAAAGTCTCTGCTGGATAACACTGTACACAGACATAACTGCTGTGATGCTGGGCAGCACTATCCCAACTCTTATTACACAGTCATAAATGTTGAGGTCTGAAAGGACCATTGTGATCATCTAGTTTGACCTTCTGAATGACACAGGCCAGAGATTTGTATCCAGTAACTCCTGCACCAAGCCCATAATTTATGTTGGAGCTAGAATGGCTCGTTAAGATAGGGTTACCATATGTGGAGTGTCCCAAAAGAGGACACTCCACGGGGCCCCGCTCCGCCCCCCGCCCCGCCCACGCCCCCCCGCCCAAACTCCGCCCCCTCCCCCAAAGTCCCCGCCCCAACTCCGCCCCCTCCCCTGCTTCCCGCGAACATTTGATTCGCCGGAAGCAGGCAGCAGGTAAGGGGGGGAGGGAGGTGAGGCGGCGCGGTGCGGCGCGGGTCAGCCAGCCCCCGGCCGAGCACCCCCCACCCCCCCCAGCTCCGCCGGCGGCCCGGTGCACCCCCACCCCCCCAGCTCCGCCGGCCCCGGCCCAGCGCGCCCCCCGGCCGCCCGGCCC